GAGAGAGAGAGAGAGAGAGAGAGAGAGAGAGAGAGAAAGAGTGAGAGTCAGTCCAAAGCAGGCTCCATGCTGTCAGCACAGAGCCCAACATGGGGCTCAAACTTACTAATGGTGAGATCATGATCTGAGCCAAAATTAAGAGTCTGACGCTTAACCGACTGAGCCACACAGGTGCCCCGAGGAGTCTGTTTTTTCTGTAGAAGGGTACACTACCTTCTCGTCGGTTCCATCTTCACAGTCTACGTCACGGTCACATAGCCACTCTGCTGACACACACTCTCCACTCCTCCGGCACCTCACCTCCCCTGACGGGCACCGCGGAGGCAAATCAACAGGACAGCCCTCTTCATCGGAGTGGTCCAGGCAGTCTTGATTGCCATCACAGCGCAGAAAATTAGATATGCACTGGCCGCTCTTGCATCGAAATTCAGGTGTGCTGCATTTTGCATGAACTGGAAAATAGAACTTTAGGTAAGAACTCAGCCAGAGGTGGAAGCAGTTTGATGGCAAAAGAAATGGTCTGAAGACTCTTCAGCCTCCTGCTGTCACCTTGGGAACTAAACCCTGGACCTCAAAGGTGGTTCAAGCAGTGTTAGGTCAGAAAAGGCCTACTAAGCTTGCCCAGAAAAATCCTGTCTTGGAGAACAAGGGCTTGAGGACAGGGATGGAGACATGTGGAAGGACACTGGGATAGGCTGGGGAGGAAGACTCTCCTGCAGGACCTTAATGTCATCCATGAAAAGAGAAAGTCTCTTACAACATCCAACATACCCTACATGTTCTGTTCATGGGCTCCATTCCTACAGACAGAAGTTGCTTGGTCCAAGAAAAAAGGTCAGATCCCAGGCAAAACCACAAATATGTATTGAAAAGTAAATGATACCTTGGGTTCTTCTTCCTAATGTTCTTCTCATAAGCACGAATACAGTCATATCATCTGGCTACCCAGTCACTTCCACATTCAAATCCATCATGGTACCTCGACCAGCTCCCTCTTCTGCCCACTTCAATTTCTCCAAAATCTCTCTTCTACCCTATTCCCACAAAATGATCAAGGTCTTTGGAACAAGTCATTGGGAAGACTAAAAAGAAAGATCGTGTATCCCACAAAAAAGAGAGGAAAGTGGTAACACCTATAGATGAGGATAGCCCATCACATGAGAAGACCTAGGATCAAAATTAAAATCTTCAAGGAGGGAGATTCTAGCTCAAGAAATGTGCTGTCAAGTAGACTGGTTTCCCACTAATGGGAATCTTGTCCCTCCAACTTGGAACCTTCCGTCCTAGTCTTGTTAACTTTGTGGTAAGTACAGTCCATCTTTGTTATTTGCAGATTATTTGCACATTCGCCTACTTGCCAAAATTTGTAACACCCTTCCTAAATCTGTGCTCCCACACTTTTTTGGTCATCTGAGGATACACATACATGGGGCACCTGGATGGTTCAGCCGGTTAGATGTCTGACTCTTGGTTTCGGCTCAGGTCATGATCTCACGGTTTCACGGGCTCAAGACCAGCATCGGGCTCTGCACTGACAGGTCAGAGCCTGTTTGGGATTTTCTCTCTCCCTCTTCTCCGCCCCTCCCCCACTCACACGGTCTCTGTTTCTCTCAAAATACGTGAATAAACTTAAAAAAAAAAAAGACGCACATATACAGCAGCAAAGCATTTGTGTTGTTAACGCACATTTCCAGTTGCGATCAAACAAGGCGACGCTCTGCCTTCTTGTTTTGGTCCTTACACTGGAAACAAATGTCCTTTCTGCAGTCTGTTTAGGGCCATACTTCCCACATTTTTGTATTTTTGGTGATTTTGCTGTTTAAACAGGCCCCCAAGTATAGTGCAGAAAGGCTGTCTAGCATTCATGAGTGCAAGAAGCCTTACAGAGAAAATATATGTATGAGATAAGCTTTGCCCAGGCATGAGTTAAAATGCTGTTGGCTCTGACTTCAGTGTTAATGAGTCAACAATATATTATCTAGTGGTCTCTAAACAGCAATACTCCTAAAACAAGGTTACACATGGATTGGTTGACAAAAATATTATCGCGATAGATTTCTCCGAAACCTCACCCTGCATTTTTTTCTATGAGCAATGATGTGATACCTGCTTATTCAGTGTTTGTGCCAACTTTGTAGAATATAACTATCACAGATAAGGAGAATCAACCGTAATGCATTTTCAAACACTCCAAGGGAGCCATATGGCACTTACTACATCCTTGTTCGTCTTTCCTGTCAGAACAGTCTGGGTTGCCATCACACAGCCAGCTCTTAGGGATACAGCGGGTCTTGTTGTCACAACGCAAAGAACAATCTTCAGTGGGCTCCCAGCAGTCCAGCTCATCGGACCCATCAGAGCACTGCTGAGCCCCGTCGCAGTGGTACTTGCCCTCAATGCACTGGTTTCTGTTCAGACACTGGAAGACTCCTAAAATGGAAAGGACCGGAGGCTCTCATCATATACTCAGCCATACTGAAGACTTAAAATTAGATTAACTCGGGGTGCCTGGGTGGCTCAGTCGGTTAAGCACCAGACTCTCAGTTTCGGCTCCTATCATGATCTCACGGTTTACGGGTTCGAGCCCGGCATCAGTCTCTGTGCTGACAGCATGGAGCCTGCTTGCGGTTCTCTCTGTCCTCTCTCTGCCCCCCACCCTTGCTCTTGTTCTTTCTCTCTCTCAAAATAAGTAAACATTTCAAAAAATAAGTAATATAAAGTTAGATGAACTCCCCCTCATCCTGGAGTTTGCATCCTATGTGTGTGAGCTTTAGAGCTTATCTAATCCATGAGCAAGCTTTAGTAAAGTACTCAGGCCAATTATATTAACAAGCTGAACTAAGTTGTTTCATAAGCGCTCATATTGGTTTCGTTACTTTAAACACTTGTTGGGACACTCCAAATCTGTTACAAGTGGTCTATTTAGGTCACTTTATGGCTCAGCCTTTCTAAAGGCAAATCCTGGAACACTTATGCAAATATGAGGAAGCAAGGAAGCACCAGTTAAATTACAGCCAGTAGAACATTTGCCTTCAATGTGATGAAACGGATACTGGTAGAATCCACATTCTGACAGACTCTGACCTTTATTGATGACAATTTATCTAAGAAAGCAAAGTGTGATTAGAATATAAACATGGTACCTCATAGCATGTGCCCGGCCGGAGTGGCGTCATATGCCTGGCACAAAGGACTAGACAGGAGACCATGACAAACCTGGTCTGTTGCAGAAGTGGGAACAGTTCCCTTCATCCGAGCCATCCTGACAGTCCCGTTTGCCATCGCAGAGGTACTCCTGAGAGACGCATTCCTCCCCGTTCTGACAGGGGACAGAGGATTGGGGGCAAAGCAGAGGGGGCGCCGGAAGAAGGGCGGGGGGGCCGTTTGTGGCTGCCCCTTCCAACTCAGGATCTAGAATAAACAGTTGCTTCAGGAAATCAGTCCCTAAGGTTTCAGCAACAGAGATGTGCTCCCATTGTCCCCCTCCTCCAAAACCACGTCACGGCAGGGTAGTGCCATTTCTCCACCTCATCGGGACAAGCAGGGAGATGGACTCAAAGCCTAGATCCTTAGATTAGATGTGCTGCGTTGGCCCATCGTCTAATGGCTTCAAATTTCGGCAAACTGTTCTCTCCTTTCAGGCCTACCAACTTTTTTTCACTGCCTGATGCCATATGCTAGGAATAAAAAATAAAGTTTCAGCCAGACTTGTTCTGTCTGGCTCCCTGCTATAGCGTCTTGTGATCTGGGACAGGGACCAGCATAATGTGGACACTCCCTTGTTGTGATGTTTCAGTTTCACTTCTAAAAGTTACCAGTTAGTACGTTCAACAACTAGCACAGCAACCTAACAGATCAGTTTGTAGGATAATCAAAGTTGGATTTTTACCAAAACGTTAACCTTTCCTTGGCACACTTTATTCCCTAAGAGATAGGTTCCTATGCCTCATGTTTCTCAGCCTTGAAAATCAGGCTAAACCAACCAATGAATCAAAAGGTAAGGCAGTTCAGACAGAAGAGGGAGAGGAGAGATCTCTATGGAGCGGGCACATCGAGGACAGAATGAGTCTGCCCTCCTTGTTTCTACCCTTCCTTTGGACTTCTGGCCACTCTCGCTGACAAAGCCCCCTGAGTTCTGTGATAGGATTTCTTCTTTTTCTGCCGCAAGATCCAGGATCAGATTTTTGGGCTCCAGGCCAAAGGCATAGGTGAAAAGAGAAAGGTAAGCCAGCCTTAAGCAGGGCAATCTGAGCTACAGGTACAGCTTCAACAGCAGGAAAGAACCGCTTCTCCTCGTACCCACAGCCCCAGAGCAGCTTTGCACACGATGCTCCGCAAGATGTTGCTGCCTGGAGGAAGGGGGTTCCTTGGTAAAACCTGTCTGGGAAAGTGGTTTAGAACAAATTAAATGGATCTCTTTATGGCCAGAGGTTTATTATGCATTTGCTCGGGGTCTTGGGTCATTTAGCAAATTTTAAGAAGCGTGTCAGCTTCTTACTCTTCCAGGATAGGGAAGTTAGGAGAAGGCCTGCTGACCTGTGGGTCGGGACAACTGCCAATATAAGATTCCTCTGAAAACACACTGACAAGAGGCAGGTAAAGTGGATTTCAGAGAATGACCCCACACAGGAAGACTCGCCTGAAACCTGCTGATTCTCTGCCAGGATGATCATTTTCCTTACGTCTGGCTCTTTTGACACGGAGAAGGGCTCTGGCATCCTCCTGTTCCACAGCAGGAGAGCTCCTCTGTGCACGGTCACCAGGTAGGGCTCGTGGGCCGCTATAATGCCGTCACTCCAGGCCTTGTTCAAAGCGTATGTTCTATTTTTTAGGAGGCTCAGACTTTGCAACCCTAAGGAAGAGTCAAGTTCTTACCAGCTGACGGAGAACATGCAACCTGTGATGGCAGGGGCAAGGGGGGTCATGGGCACCACTCAACTGAGGTTCTATGACCCCAACTGAAAATAAGTCCAAGGAAAGTGTTCAAAGCTCCAGGAAAGTGAGATCTGCCACGTGGAAGCATCAGGTGTGGTTTTACTGCCTCGCATGCGGTCTGTGAACACACTCAGGCACCAGCTGCTGGAGATGGGTTCTGGGTGAGAGGACCGTCAACAGCCGTGAGGCAGAGGCCGTATCTGGTGTCAAGTGTAGCTGAAGCATCTCTGCTCCATTTGCAATGGAAGTTGGGTTCTGTTACTTCCACTCACGGGAACAGAAACAGATTCTGGACAAAAAGCTATTAAGCATATTAGCTCTGAAGCTTACTACCTTTCAAGTCAAGAATCCAGACTTACAAATGGAACCAAGTGTGAGGTAAGTGACACGGGTCCCAGCTTTGCCTACGAGAGTCAGAATCTGAGCCTGGGTCTAGCCAGTTCTAAGAATGGCCAGAATCCTTGTGCTGAGACAAGATTCTCCCGCCACCTCCCGTCCCAAACTTCTTCCAACTGTGCTGCTTGGTGTTGCACTTACCTGACCCTTTGGTAGTCCAGAGGATGCTAGACGAGCCAAGGTCTAAGGCCATATGGGTGTCAGCCGTCCAGGTGCCCATCCAGACTTCCTGTCTGCTTTTGCCATCAAGGGTCATACTTTGCAAATGTTTCCCACTCTCTACCCAGTAGATCACCCTCTTTGGCCAGTTGAGAAGAAGATGCAGTATAATGCTGCCTGTCCTGTAAAGGGTATGTGTGTCTGGGCCAGTAATGTTGGTCTTCTGAATAGCACTTCTGTCACAGGGCAGCCAGTACAAGTCCCCAGTGGATACGTCCACATTTGCTGAGCAGACTGTAAGGAGGAGAAGGAACTTCCATTAGAAAGGACACTCATATACACTCATGCATGGTCTTAAGTTTTGAGTTAAGGATGGACTCAACTAGAAACAATTAGGATGCAAAGACTGGTTCCTAACAAGCCTACATGGCTCATTCATCTGAGTCCCATCATACCTATCCTGGATCCAGCACCTTGTCTGTAGCACCAGCTCATGTGACCCTTACAACCAGCTGCTAAGGGAGAGATTCACCACCTTTCAGGAGTTAGAGATCTATGTGGCAACGCTGACACTTGAATGCAGGTCTGCAACTTTGGATTCACATCCCTCTTCATCGGTTAAGTATGAAAATCAATCGATTACATGTCAAGTGCCTAGGACTGAGATTGCTGCGGGAAAGCAGAGACTGAGTAAAGGGAAACCACAACGGTGGTATCAAAGGTCATTCGTGGGATGGACACATAGGGAGGTGACCCACAGCCAGAAGACAGAGACATGATAGGCACCAAGTATATGAAAGCCACAAAGCGTTAGCTTCTAAGCGTGACAGCTGGGCACGACCCTACGAAGCACTCCCTGCTCCCATTCCGCTCACCATAGCTGGACAATTGGGTCTAAGCTACATAGTTCCTACTACTGGGCTGCAGTATAGCATAAAAGTTAGGAGCAGTTTCAGGCTAGCGAGTCAGATCGCCTTGTTTGAAACACGTTCCAAAATAAGGTGCCCGTTAATTTTTGTGCCTCAGTTTCCACAAATGCATGGTAGGGACACTGCTTCTCTCAGTGTTGAGGATTAGAGTTAGTATGCATAAAGCTTAGGACAGTGTCCAGTATTTTATTATTTTTTTAAGGTATTTATTTTTGGGAGAGAGCAAGCAGGTGAGGGGCAGAGAGAGGAAGACAGAGGATCGGAAGCGGGCTCTGCACTGACAGGCTGACAGCAGCAAGACAAATGTGGGGCTCGAACCCAAGAACAGTGAGATCATGACCTGAGTTGAAGTCAGACACTCAACCAACCGGACCACGCAGGTGCCCCACTGTGTCGGGTATTTTCTAGCGCTGTGCCAGAGCTAGTTTGCACGAGCCTGTAACGGCCAGTTGTTAAATTCAGGGATGCTGCAAATTTGCTGTCCAGTACGGTCATTATTGAAACTAAATTACGTAAGCCTACTTGTATTTGAAACAAAACTAAAACACTCATCACTTACTTTCCCGCGTTTTGTTACTGCACACCGGCGTTAAGGGACATCACATTGGTAGCTTGAAATCTGGCACCGTGGGAGTATTTTCAAGCAGAGAAATTGGCAAACGCTGCACATCAGGGCTTTGTGTTAGGTTTTGTTTTCTAGTCCAGGGACTGACAAACAACGGCCCTTGGGCGGATTCCAGCCTGCAATCTGTTTTCATAAAATTTGGTGGAGCACACCATGGTCATTCTACAGTACATGTTTTCGGCTGGTTGGGCATTCTACCGTTGTATCTTTTCAGATACAACTGGCCTTTCAGAGGAAGAGGTTGAAAACCCCTGGTCTGGGCTGAAGTAGCAGAGAAAGATGCTAATATTGCAAATTAAACTTACATGTGTCACATCTACAGCCATTACCTTTTAAATACCACAAAAATTGGGAAGATATTTTTCTAGTCCTTGAAAACTATTATCCAATTCCACACATAAGTCCTTTGTGTCAATAAACTAATTCCAATTAGTCTCCATTGCTACACTTTTCACTTGTTTACAGAAACACATAGCAAACAACACTTCAGTAGGACTATATTCACTCAACGATGGCATCGACATCTTTGCCAAATCAGATAGCAATCAAGCATTTATTCACAGTTGGATTGTGTTAAATCCTGATTGAATTGCAACTATAAACTGCTTTTTTTATTTCTGAGTTCTTGAATCTGTAGCCAATCTGAAAATCGTGTGGCTATATGAAATTTACAGTAAAGAATGTCATCTATTTTATTATTTGTAAATAATGTCACATCCTTTATGCCAGCTTTATTAGAAACGTATATAATGTATATATGAACATATCCCCCAACCTCCAGAAAGCTGGTTCTTAATATAATATCCGGTGGTATGCTGGGATATATTTAAGAACTCAATTGTTAGGACTCCTGGGTGGCTCAGTCAGTTAAGCGTCCAACTTTGGCTCTGGTCATGATCTCAAGGTTCGTGAGTTCAAGCCCCACGTCAGACTCTGTGCTGACAGTTCAGAGCCTGGAACCTGCTTCAGATGCTGTGTCTCTCTCTCTCTCTCCCCCTCCCTGCTCACCCACTGTCTCTCAAAAATGAACAAACGTTAAAAAAATTTTTTTTAAAAAGAACTCAAATGTTAACTACCAGGAAGGTTGAGAAACAGACAAGGCATGGAACTGAGGCATGGTACCAGAATGGTGAAGCCAGTACCCACAGGCTTAACATGTGTTAGTTTTTCCCACTTCCTGGGTGTTAGGGTGGGAGCATATCTTAATATCCCTCACATTTTCTTTTCTTAAGTTTATTTATTTATATTTAGAGGGGGGACGGAGAGGGGGCAGAGAGAGAGAGAGAGAGAGAGAGAGAGAGAATATCCCAAGGAGGCTCTGTGCTGTCAGCACAGAGTCTGACTCAGGGCTCCCAGTCACAAACTGTGAGATCATGACCTGAGCCAAAATCAAGATTTGGACACTGAACTGACTAAGCTACCCAGGCACCCTTATTCCTCTTGTTTTCATGAGGAGAAACTGGCGTAGAATTGTCCCCATGTTCCTTAAGTCTCACTCCAGGGAAGAAGGGACTTAAGGTTGGCCAGTTAGCAAGAACAGACTGGCCACACCCGGTTCAGCTTCGCTCTTCTCTGTCGGGCTCTGACGTCTGCACAGAAGATGCGCTCTCTCTGGCATGAGATTCAAGTGGTGCCGTGCAGATTCAAGGTTGAGTGTCCAGTTGCCAGGACCACGGAATGTTCTTTGAGCGATTCTACATAGGTTCTTAAAGACACACACTCTTTCCTAAAAGAGGATATTGAAGCCCTCCCATTTTTTTATTAGCAATCTCAACTGTATTTACCAGCTTCGCTTCTCAGTAGGACAGGATTAACACATTCAAGAGAAAATACTGATGTTAGCATACTTTGATGTGAGGATAAGCTGGAAGCTGGGTCGTGAGGAGTCCTGGAGATCTGTAAACAGGCCTTGAGATGTAGTAACCAGCCCTTTCCCTGCTGTGAATGGCCTGCCTGGCTTTGTCAAGCTTTCAGCCATCATACACGAAAAACACACCCCTGTTCTCCAGATACATGTGGGGTTTCCCTATGCCAGGCAATTCTGCAACACGAGAACGTCCTACAATTCAGGGGCGCTTGGGGGTATCTCAGTCGGTTGAGTGTCTGACTCTCCGTTTCGGCTCAGGTCATGATCTCACAGTTTTGTGGATTCGGGTCCCACGTCGGGCTCTGCGCTGACAGTGTTGAGGAGCCTGCTTGAGATTCTCTTTCTCTCCCTCTTTCTCTGCCTCTCCCCCACCCACATTCTCTCAAAATATAAATAAACTTAAATTGTAGGACATTCTTAAAAAATGTTTTTAATTCAATTCTGACACCATCTACCTGCAGTTGGCATCAGACCCTGCAGGGTAAGGGTTCCGTCCCTATACTGCCCCCACTTCTGATGCCAACCATAAGTACGGGTTGTCCCCGGACTCTGAGCCAATGGCCCTAAATCGGGGTTCCCACAACCCCCTCGAATTTGATCATTTGCCAAATGGCTCACAGAACTAAGGGAAACACACTTACTGGTTTAGCGCATACAGGATACAAATGAACAGCCAGGTGAAGAGATTCACAGGGCCACATCCAAAGGGCCCACAAGCAGGAGCTTCTGTTCCCATGGACCTGAGGTTTGCCTCCCTTCCGGCACACAGGTGGAGGGTTCATCACATAGACCTGACTGAGCACCGATTCCATTTCCAGCCCCCCCTCCCCTCTCCGGAGAATGGGGAGTAGGGCTGAGAGGTCTAAGCTTCTGGTCATGGCTTGGTCTTTCTGGTTAACAGCCTCCCAGGGTCAGTGATAAGGGTTTTAAAGTTTTTCTGGCCCTAAGTCATGGAAATGGACCTTAAATTCAATTTTGCATTCTTGGCTCATTCAAGCCAAAGCTATTCCTCTCGCCCAGGAAACCCCAAAGGACCTAGGAGCTCTGTGTCAGAGCTATCACTCAGGAAGTTACAAAGCTCTGTGCCAGTAACCAGGGTCAGATATGTGTATTTTTTTCCTATTATTTCAGAGCCACCTACCCCAAGGACTCAGTATTCCACAAGAGAACCCAGCTCAAGTGAAACTGCCAGTCTCCTAAAATTCCTTGATATAATCATTGTAACACTGAAACCTATTAGCTAAGATTAGCCAGTGGAGCAAAGGTGGCATTTTTAATTAAATGGGAAGAAATTTAAGGCCACAAGTTTCCTCAGACAGCCATCAGCTGTATTGCAAGATCACTGCCCGCTTCACTTTTTCCTGAAAGTTCTCCAGGGCAGGTACCGGAAGTTGCAAGGCACCAGGCACTGTGCTTGCCCTCAGGACTCAGCAGAGTCCACTGCTCTGAAGGACATCCCGGGAGCACGTCTTTCAGGACAGCACTGCTTGTAGTAAAGCTTATTGTTGGTACTTACAGTACGCAGGGAACATCCGGAAATCAAATTACTCACCCTAGAGCTCTAGCCTCAGTTCCTTTTTATAAAGTAGATGTTTGCCGTTAGGCAGAGCACAGGGCACTAAGCTTGGGGTATAGCACCCAGGAGTGGGAGAGAAGAGAAAGTATATATTACCATGGCAAGAAAATATCTTGCTAGTTCTCTCAGAAATCTGCATTGCAAATCACTTCTAAATCAGTGCAAGAAAAAAATCTGCATTGCAAAACTGAAGGATTTGAGGTCTATTTCTGTCCTGCCCAAACTTAAGGCCAGGAAAATAGAATCTCAAAAAACTTACCACTGACCCCAGGATTTGCCAAATCATGGTAGCCTTTTAACAGTCTGCACAGCTCGCCTAAGCATTAGGGTAACTCTGATACTTCATATGTAAGTTAGTTTAAAACCATTCTTTTGGAGGTGCCTGGGTGGCTCAGTTGGTTGAGCGTTGACTTGCTCAGGTCATGATCTCACGGTTCGTGGGTTCGAGCCCCGCATCGGGCTCTGTGCTGGCAGCTCAGAGACTGGAGGCTGCTTCAGATTCTGTGTCTCCCTCTCTCTCTCTCTCTCTCTCTCTCTGCCCCTCCCCTGCTCTCGCTCTGTCTCTCAAAAACAAACACAAAAAATAAAAATAAAAAAATTATTTGGCATTAAGACAGATTCAGATCAGGAATAGGTACCTTTTTTTTTTTTTGGCTCTACTTAATTTTAGAGCCAGAAAATAAAGGGAAAAAGCCAAAATAGCCACCCAACTTACCTGTACGCTCTGTCCAAATCTCTCGCTTTTCTCCCGAATAGCCAGTTGAGAAGAACAGACGTCCCTGGGCATTTGTCCAGTAGATGAGGTTTCTTTTCCAGTCAATATCCAGTAAATAGATGTTCCTAGGATGCTCTTGAACCAGGGTTCGCTCTATAGCAGTTCCCATAAAACCAACTTTCAACAAGTAGAGACGTTTGCCAGAAGAAAACACCACCTTTAACTCTACCAAGGGAAAAAGGAGATTTACTGTTTGGCCATTTGCTAGGTAAGCCCAAATGCTCCCTTCTTGAGCAATCCCTCCAGCTGAGGTACACCTAGAAAGGGGTCTTATCAAATTCGCTTCTGAGGCACACATACAACCCAAATGCCCTAGCTTCCTTAGAGAAGGGAGCCATTTGGGCAAATGAAGTGCTGATCAGCTTTCCCAAGGCACAAACCCTTTGGATTTTCTGCTGAAAGGTCCACACAGAAGCAGGAGGATTAGGGCTGGGGTGGTGCCCCATTTCATTCAGTAATGTCCTCGAATCCTTGCTTGTGGCACTCAAGTCTCAGTAGAAAGAATTTTAAATTCAATTGCCCACTTAAAGAAAAGTTAGTTGGGAACTTAACTGGATATATAATGTTCAAGGTACGATTTAAGCTCAAGTCCTGAGTCTGGCACAATAGTGTATTATATACACCACGAGTGCATTCAGTGGCTACCCCTGAGAATTGTGTTCTTTAAAGGTAGTTGGAACGTGAACATACTCATAGCATTTTTATTTTTTTTATTAGTTTTCTTTATTTTTGAGAGGCAGAGAGAGAGAGAGAGATCGCGAGTGGGGGAAGGGCAGGGAGAGAGGGAGACACAGAATCAGAAGCAGGCTCCAGGCTCTGAGCTGTCAGCACAGAGCCCGATGCAGGGCCTGAACTCACGGACCATGAGATCATAACCTGGAGCTGAAGTCGGATGCTCAACCGATTGAGCCACCCAGGCACCCAGACCATGTGTTTTTAAAGCCTCAATGTTCTTTAGGAAAAAGTAACTTGGATAGAGGGGTTCAATGGAGCGTGTAGCCTTAATATTTCAAAGACAAAAACCAGCAGGAAGACTTTACATTAACAATATTGACATAGACTCTCTGCTCACAAACAGAAGCCAGAACACATAATAGTTATAAGACTATGGAGGATTACTTTTCTTATACAACTTAAATTTTCTGGTAAAACTGAGTGGTGTAAGCTATGTTTTTCTAGTTTAAAATCAATCAAACCCAAATACCCACGGATGGATGAATGGATAAACCAAATGTAGTACAGATAAAATGGATTGTTATCCAGCCTTAAAAAGAAATTCTGGGGGCATCTGGGTGGCTAAGCGTCTGACTTCGGTTCGGATCATGATCTCGTGGCTCGTGAGTTCGAGCCCTGCATCAGGCTTTGTGCTAACAGCTCCGAGCCTGGAGCCCGCTTGGGATTTTGTGTCTCCCTCTCTCACGTGCTCTCTCTCTCTATCTCTCTCTCTGCCCCTACCCTGCTCACGCTTTCTCCTTCAAAAATAAACAAACACTAAAATTTTTTTTTTTTAATTCTAACACCTATTACAACATGTATGAACCTCAAAGGTATCATGCTAAGTGAAATAAGCCAGCAACGAAAGGGAAAATACTGTATGATTCCACTTAATGAGGTTCCTCAAGTAGTCAAATTCATATGGACCGAAGGTAGAATGGTCGTCCAGGGGCAGGCAGAGGAGGAGAGGAAGGGGGAGTTGTTGTTAAATGGGTACAAAATTTCAGTGTAGGAAGATGAAGACATTCTGGAAATGGATGGTGGTGATGGCTGCACAAAAATATGAACGTGCCTAATGCTACTGAACTGTACACTTAGAAGTGGTTAAAATAGGAAGTTCTAGGTTATGGACTTTTAACACAACTGAAAAAACTAATCAAGATCTTTGAGAGCGAAACTTAACCAAAGTAAGGTTGTCAGTGCAAAAGTGATTGATCCCAAAATGGAAGCCACGTTATTTCCAGGCCTACCATGGAATGTGACTCCCAGAGCCAAACCCATTTCACCCAGCAGACTTACCACTACATGTACCAGAAGGTAAAAGAAACATTCCCTCTGGACAAACACACTTATAGCCCTTGGGATGGATGGGGGACAGGAGACATAAGTGGCTACAAGAGCCTGGAGCACATTCTGGGTATCTGCCTGTTGTAAAAGAGAAATAGGTTAGATACAATTTCAGAATTCTCCATATACTAGTTCAAAACTGAAGACTCAAGGTAATTAAATTAGTTTTGCCTTAAGAGGAATCCCAGTATCCTCGTTTCCTTCTAGGTTAGGCACGCTGACCTTTAAACTCCCACGATCCCCTTTCAGATACTGGCAATTACTTATCCATGTTGAGCTCAAGCCAATAAAGCTTCAACCACCAGCATCTTCTCCCCCCAGAGTTAAGGCAAAATGCTGTCTAGTTCGCTTATAGGAAGACTCCTTTAGAAGTAAATAGTAGTCTAAGTTCTCTACTTTGCTTAGTCTCTCAGACACAGTAACAGCCATTATCTGAGTTGAATCTGACATATAATTGCTGATTGACAAAAGTTTTTAACTCCTACTCTTCTATAAATGGGATACTGGGCTTTCTTCAACTTTCTATCAAGAGCATAAAACTTTAAGGTCAACGACAATTAACGTATCTGTGAGTAAGCTATTGTAGCCCTTATGTGAATAGCTTATTACCCCATTTCATGTATTTCAGACTTCAAGAATCTGGTTACTACATTGGACTTGGACAAAGCACAAGGTACATGCTTGGAAGGAGTTTCCCAGAAAAGGATTTTGTTCATTTTCTCTTATTTAGAAGTCCTATAGAATTCTGGAATAATACCCAGAACATTTTCCCTGCCTAAAAAAGTAGCAAGTTCCAAGAGCAGACCAAGGTAGTAATTTAGGCCATTTCTGTTTAGTGTACATTCTGATGCATTAGCATTTCAAAAGCAAGTCCTTGACATACCCTTGGGCTGCTGGGATTTGTGCAGGACAGAGAAAGCAGATATGGAAGCATTCAGCAGCACCACTCTCTCCTTTGGGGTGTGGGGTGAAGTGCGAAACAGCCGTATTTTATTTGCCCAGAAGAAAGAGTTCTCAAATACAGCTAGTCCTATTGGATTGTCACCTTCCAAGAAGATCTCAGGAAAAGTGTGCCTCCCACTGCCATCCACGTTTACCGTCTCTATGGACTAAAGGGTTAGAGTCATGAGAGCAGCGTACCGTTAGCAAGAGATGCTGAGGTCAGTGCTGCACCTCTTTCATGCACACTGATTAACATCTTCATGAGCTATCAACTTGACAGAGATGAAATCATTTTAGGATTACACGGAAGGTAATGCCAAACCCAGTGGTGCAACTGCATCTTGCACAAACCGGGTCACAGATAAGTTACAGTAGTTACTTGTACAACACATTGTCTGCATCCAAACGTTGTGCCAAGTTCTTTCCCTACATTTTCCGATTGTCTTTTGAAGAAAAACATTTTAGCTGTTTTCAGAGAGGGCAACTGGAGCCCAAAGAGGTGCCATAAATTGCCAAAATCACAGCTGATGTGATAGGCTTAAAAATATGATTCCCCAGGGCACCTGGTACAGCATGAAACTCTTGATCTCAGGATTGGGCCACACACTGGGTGTTGAGATTACTTTAAAAAAAAAATTTGACGTCTTTAAAAAAAAATGACTCCTAAGCCTATGCTTTTGGCCACCGTGTCATATTGGTCTGTCAGTTTGATGCTTCCAAAAATGAGATTACACAAACTGTAATATTAAGACCTCGAAATAGGAATATAAGTAAGTACTAAGTACTTAACTATGTTATTTCAAGGAGGTGGTCTGCCATCTTAAAAGGTTTTACATCCTAGGCATGACACAGAATATGCCCTATACTACCAGTGCCAAGTTTGACTGTAGTATTTAAGAAAGTCACAATAGGGGCACCTGGGTGGCTCAGTTGGTTAAGTGACTCTTGATTTCAGCTCAGATCGTGATCTCATGGTCATGGGACCAAGCCCTGCATCAGACACCACACTGAGCATGGAGCCTGCTTGGGATTCTCTCCCCCACTCTCTCTGCCCCTCCCCATTCCCTCTCTCTCTTTTCAATAAACCTAAGAAAAAAAAAAAAAAAAAGGAAGTCACGCCAAGTCTCCCAACCTACGTTGATATCATCAGACTCTACCTAAAGATACTGTGCAATCCTAGCTTGCTTCTCTCCGTTTTCACAGCCAGAAATATTTCACAGTGTTGATGCAAGACCAAAGAGAACTTCGCAGTTACCCACAGTCATACCAAGACCCAGGTTTAACGGTTTATCTTCTCTCCTGGACCTATTTCCAGTACCTCTTTATAGTCACTGATCCAGTAGAGCCTGCCGGTCACGTGGTCGAGTGTCAGTCCTACAGGCTCCTCCATGTTTACAGCTGCGAGCACCTTCCTATCCGAGCCATCCATCCCTGCAGTCTCAATAGTTCTCATGCCTTTCTCACCACGATTTACCCAATACAAGGACCTGAGAAAAGTAGAAGGGGCAAGGTGTTAACAGTCCCCTCCACTGAACAGCCAGGTCCCCTTAGCTCTCTTGTACAGGTCCCAGATCACCACATTGCTAAGAATGCAGGAGATTTCTGCCCTCAGACTCAATAGACTGAAAAGTTGGGCCTCATAACATTCGATTTAGGCTTTAAACTCAAGATTTTTTTTTTTTTTGAGCAAATAGGTTGAAAAAGTTGAAGTGTTCTCTTATCAACTTAAACTTCTAAGATAACCAATGATTTGGGATATAGTCTCAAAGAAACACTACTTACTTCTTTGTGGGAAACACAATGAGCTGCTCTGGCACCAGATCCTTTTCCAAGATTTTGACGTAGCCTCTGCCATCACTTAAACCAGCACAGATAACTCTTGCGAAGCTGCTCGCCCAATACAACTGTCCCGTGAACCAGTCCAAAGAGACACTGTTCACCGTTTTAAGTTCTGGAGATACAGGAGACAGTGTTCTGTTCCCACAGATTTGGACCGAACTTGTGTACATGTTCTGATTTCAAGCTACACAATAGGCAAATAGGACACAGAGAAGGAGGGCCAGAGATGTGCTATGTCCAATATGCAGTGTGCAGCAGGGAAAGAGAAAGATCTTAGCAGAAACATAACCAAAAAATCGAAGAGAATGCAACCTCAGTTTGGGGCACTGTCTACTACAGAAGTCTCAGGTGCATTGTTAGGAACTGTACCTCTTAACCACTCGCAGAGGATTTCTGGGCATCCAGGACAATGCTAAGCACTTCCGCACATGTACCAACTCTGGTTTAACCCCCACACTTACCCAGTGAAGCAAGTGCTATTCCCTTCATCTTACAGACGGTGGTTCAAAGGAGTTAGCAACTTGCTCAAAGTCACATACCTAGTAATAGAGTGGAGACAAACCTTGGCCTGAGCCCACATCCCCAAACTTTCTGGACTACTTAATAGTGACTTCATTCTCCAGGTAGACTCTACCAAAGCTCCCAAGGAGCCAAATTAGATAGTCTTATCTCAAATTGGGACTGTACAAACTCTCATGATTCCCAAGGAAGTCACAGAAGATGTCCAGATGAGTAACACAGGCTGCTTATGCTCTGTTGATGTGGCTTTAAGAAGCAATAGGGTTCTTCACGTCAAGAAATATACCTGGATAGAGAAGAACTGAGTTTGGCTTCCCAAGGACAAACACATTTAAGATTCCATCCACCCAAAAGTACATGCTTCTCTCAAGATCATATGCAACGGAAGTAGGCCTCGATTTTATAGGTATAAGAGGTTCGTAGATGCCTGTTCTTTGATCCAGGACACCAAGTTCTCGATCTGCTGCTATAAGAATTTTAACAGCATCATCTGTAATAGAATTGGAAAAGGAGTAGTGACACATTCCTTTGAAACTTTCTTTCATGCCATTTCTTTAACCAAAGAAGCTGTCCCTGCTGAAATGCACTTACCCTGAAGTCTGGACTCAGGAGTGTCCAGAGGAGATCTAGGGGACCACCTTAAGTCTTAATTCCTCCTCTAAACTCCAACACATTCAAACTAATCTTTGGAATCTCTTGGCCCATTTGATTTCAGATTCAGCCCTTCCCCCAACCCTAAAAGGACGTCCTCTCTATGCCTCATACACAGAAGCCAAATAAATGAACTGTCTCATCCTTAAAGAAACACAGGCCCAGTTAAGATTTTATCAGTGGGGTCTCTGGAGCCCCTAGGTGTATAGCCTAGAGAATACGTCATTTTAAAGACACTTAATAGCAACTGAAACTCAAATTGGCCAAGGAATGTTGTCATAGCAGCTTCTTTATGGAAAGAATAAAGTCTTCTCTAATACTAGACCCTAAAGGGAATCACCCATAGTATTTCTATCTATAATTACTGCTAAGGGCACAGCAAGAGCTAGGCTTTACTTAGGGTCTCAGAGCTCACCTGTAACTCGGCAACTGGTACCATTGTAGAGCTGGTGACCTTGAATACATTCACAGAAGTAAGAGCCTGGTGTGTTGTGACACAGCTGGCCACAAGGACTGTAGGCCTTGGAGCACTCATCTAGATCTAATGAGAGACAGTCGTAAGTCAGAGATGACCAAGGAGCAATCCCTTGAGTATTTTTGTTCCTTTGAGCTACTTTTCAGACGCTCACTGGACATGTATTATGTGGAAACCACTACACTGGGTGCTGGGACAGACAGTCCCTGCCTCTGTTGAACTGCCATCCACATAAGTGCAATTCAGCAGAAACATCAATATAGAGACCCCAGAAGATGGATCTAGGTTGCCCTAACAACATTCTTGGGGGTGTTGCTGATTCAGAATGAATGGTAAGATGTGGAAAAACAAAGACTTGTGCACTGCTGGTGGGAAAAATCAAATGGGCCACCCCTGTGGAAAATAGTTGGATGGTTCCTCAAGTTAAACAGACTTGACCACATGATACAACGATTCCACTTCTGACATATACCCAAGAGTATTGAAAACAGGGATTCAGACATCTGCACACCAATGTCCGTAGCATTGTCCACAATCGCCAAAAGGTAGAAACCGTGGAAGTGTCCATCAACAAATGGATAAACAAAATGAGACATATACACACAATGAAATATTATTTGAACTTAAGATTTTGGGGGGCCTGAGTGGCTCAGTTAAGTGCCCGACTCTTGGTTTTAGCTCATGTCATGATCTCACCATTTGTGAGATCAGGCCCCACATCGGGCTCTGCATGGACAGCACAGAGCCTGCTTGGGATTCTCTCTCTCACCTACTCTCTCTCTCGCTCTCTACCCCTCCCCCACTCATGTTCGCTCTCAAAATAAACTTAAAAAAAAAGAGAGAGATTCTGACACATGCTAGGACATGGATGAACCTTAACAACATGCTAAGTGAAATAAGCCAGACACACAAGGACATTTACCACATGATTGTATTTAGATGCAGGACTAGAACAGGCCAATTCATAGAGACAGGAAGTCGATAGAGGTTTCCAGGGATTGGGGACAGAGTTATTATGTCACAGGTATGGAGAGTTGCTGTTGGGAGGATGACAAAGTTCTGGAGATGGACAGTGGTGATGTTTGCACATGCTGAGGCCACTGGAGTATACACTTAATGATTAAGATGGTGTATTTTATATCATATCCATCATCCTGCAATAAAAACTTTGAAGATGAGCCAAATGAACGCTGACCTGCACAGCTCTGAGCGTCCGGCTGTAATTGCCACCCGGCTCCACACGAACACTGGACTCCCCAGTATGTGTCCCTGCACTGCCCCTCACAGCCCCCGTTGGCCAGAGAGCAGTTTTTACCTGGTAGAGACAGGGCAGCGGTCAGGACGGCTTAACACGGTGCAGATCAAACATTTCATAAACCGTTGTGTTACAAACCCCCACACTGTGTAAGGGCCATATGACTGTTTTGACCCTGCTCCCTGACCTAGGAATGTGGAGGCTTTGGGAAAAGACCAGAAGACAGGGAAAGTTAGGAAACTTGGAGCAGGGGAAAGGAATTTTTAGGTGGACAGTCCGGACAATTTCAAATGTTGGCATATTTTTCCGCCCACAGAGGGGCCAGCAACCTCTTCCTTAATTTCTCCAGAAATGTGGGTGGTCAGGACCCTTGCCTCAGGAAGCTTTATAGCAATTTATTAATTTCAGTGAATTATCTACACAGGACCAGAAGCCTGTGCTTTGTCCCACTGTTTATGCTTTTACGATCTTACTTGTTCCTTTAGTAGAAAGCTGCTTTCACAGCCTTTAGCAGCACTAAAGAGGTTTCATTATACACATCTAATACCAGATTTGAGGAGGAAATAAGACAGATGACAAAGTGCCTGGGGTCAGGTGCCCCCTCTCCCTCCACAACAACTTGAATCAACAGTGATTTTTATAGTGAGAACTGCAAGGTATTAAAGTGTGAGAGGCGCCTGAGTAGCTCAGTCGGTTAAGCATCTGACTTCAGGTCACGATCTCACAGTTCATGAGTCTGAGCCCCACATCAGGTTCTCTGCTGTCCGTGTAGAACCCGTTTTGATCCTCTGTCCCCCTCTCCTTGCCCCTGCCCCGCTCTTGCTCTTTCAAAAACAAGTAGACATTCAAAAAAAAAAAAAAAGTTTGAGTTGCTTCCCTCAGTTCTTTCCATCCTCACCAGGAAACAGTCTTCCTAAGTCTTTCTTCAGTTAAATCCTTAGAGAATTCACCATATGGTCTTGAACACACGATGTGCTTCTCAGTAGCAAAGTATGCGTTACTCCAGAATTTTAGGAGCCATGTGGTTTGGGGTATTTAGCTAGTCTATTTCCCTAAAGCCATAACAGGAGAAGAACTCTCAAAGTTTCATGGCGCAAGTAACATTGGCTCAAACTCGGGAGACCAAAACCAAGGCTTGGAACCTGTCACCTGGGATGGAGCCGTCACTGAAGGATTAATAGGTGTTTTAGTCCACGCATTCCCAGAGTGTAGACCCTTATGACTACCAAGCAGCACTGGCTTACTTGGTCCAGTTCTCCCCACCCCTGCATCGGGCCAACCCAGCAACGGGGTCCTCACCGCATGTGGCGGGCTCATCGGTACCATCTGCACAGTCTGCTTCCCCGTCACACATCAGGGATTCCAGGATGCATTTCCCTTCGTCACACCTCACAGTGCCTTCTGGACAGGAAGCTGTGGAGGCAGGAAAGCATTCTTTTCTGACAGCACTTGGGGGAAGGGGTGATAGAAACACTTATTATAGTAAGGTGGCCGCAGTATTTCTAGAACCCAAAGCAAGTCTAGGTAGGAAAGGACGTTGTGTCATTTGAAGCAGGGTTTTCAGGGAACTGGGACTTCAGACTTGATAACAAGGATGTTATGCCACTTGGGCACTGGACTGAAAGAATATTGAATTTGAATTCAATTAGCATTAAGTAGTTCCAATTGAAATGGTGTTACAGTGAGTTAACATGCGCCCTAAAGGAAGACTCTTCTTAAGCCAGTTTAAACATTACAAAAATGTTAGAATCTGAATATATTCAATACTGCAGATTTAATTCTGGAAAGATTGAAGTAGGATTGGGATTTACTGAGAATTTGGAGTTTCTACCACGTTGTTGGGGGCGGGGGGGGGAGGGTGTAGAGAAAAGGAACGTAATACTCATCAAGTTCTTTGTAAGGCAGGGCAGTGGGGGGGGGAGGGGGGGGATCCTCTTTTAATGAGAAATTTGCCTCTCCCGTCTTCACTACACCAGGACAGGAGGCACCTGTTAGGAGACTGCCTTCATAAGGCAGTGCTCGGGTGTTCTGTGCGTTGGCCACATTGAGTAGTGGAAACATTCGAGGCAACGCTCAGAGCGTCCACCACAGAGCCATTATTTGAGCACTGCTTTAGGTTTCCATGGATAACTAAATCTCGGTTATTGCTAGGAAACATCCTGTTTTTAGATATAGGATGGAAGTCTCGGTCACAGGAATGAAACGCAGCTTGCAGAAAGCGGCCCACATAGTACAGCCTTCCCCTTTACACGAAAGGCCAAGGCCAGGGAGGTGGGCGGGGCGGGGGACTCACCACAGGCTTCCTCATCGGAGGAGTCACCGCAGTCATTGACGCCATTGCACTTCCAGCTATCCATGACACACACCTTGTTCCTGCACTGCCACTGCCCGGCCAGGCAACGGATCGGGGAGCACAGTGCTTCGTCAAGCCCGTCGCCGCAGTCCTTATGCACGTCACAGAGCTCCCAAGCATCACGGCACCGAGAATTTCCCGGACACTGGATTTTTCGGCCAGGACATGCTGTTGGTATCTCTGTCAAAGGCAGGAGTGGGCTCAGGGGGGCAGCGCCCCTGAACTTGCTTGTTCATTCAGGTTTATTCAGGTATTTATGGTCTGCTTACAGACCATAGGTATTGCTTGTTTATTCAGGTATTTATGGTCTGCTCGTGGATTTGGTTTATAGAAAACCCAGAACTGAAAGGGATGGTAGCGATTAGCGGTGTGGCCCCAACTTTTTATACTCAAGTTCATCCCAGAGGAGTTTAAAAAGGCAACAGAGGCAAGAATCTTTTAGGTAATTTTGCAAAAATGCAGAAGTGGATACAACGTCCCCTCTAATAACAGAGACAATATCTGGAGTGAGCCCATGTGGCATAAGGCTGTTTAGTGACTTGTGTGTTACGCTCAATCCTGTGGAGGTTCCTCGATGCCACAGACACAGAGAATACGTGTGAAGATACACGAAGTTGTACGTACCACAGTTAACCTCATCGGAGCCATCCAAGCAGTCTCCGGTACCGTCACAGAGCCAGCTAATAGAAATACATTTCCCGTCATCACACTGCCAGGCCTGAGGATGTCCACCGCATACTTCCTCTGCAGGCCAGGGGCGGTATTCGGGGGGCAGAAAGGAAGAGGGGTTTGTCAGGGCACACGCAGCTTTTAAATTCGGGTTTCATATTAAGTCTTGTCATTGGCAAAAGAATAATTAATTCCTGATTCACCACTGAGTCAATCCTGAACTTGCCTGTCCTTTTCAGGTTATCCTTAAGAACACATTGTACCCCGGCCTCAGGGGTAATCACCTAGCAGCCCGATAAAGCTTACGCTCCCCAACATGCTTCTAGAACACAATTGTCCGGTAAAACCTGTTGTGACTACAGAAGAGTGTTTTGGACCTATGCTGCCCAAAATGGTAGTCACCAGTCTCCTGTAGCTGTGGAGCAACTGTAATGTGACTTGTATGATAAAAGAAATGTATTTATTTAAATAAATTTAAATCTTCACATGTGGGGGACACCTGGGTGGCTCAGTCAGTTAAGCATCCGACTCTTGATTTTGGGTCAGGTCCCGATCTTGTAGTTCGTGAGTTCAAGCCCTGCATCGGGCTCCACACTGACAGTGTGGAACCTGCTTGGGATTCTTTCTCTCTCTCTCTCTCTCTCTCTCTCTCTCCCTCTCCCTTTTCCCCTCCCGCACTCACTCACTCTTTCATGCTCTCTCTTGCTCTCAAAATAAACTTAAAAAAAATCTTCACGTGTGGCTAATGGCCACTGTAGTGGACAGTACAGTTTTACAAGTTCGCTCCTTCAAACCCCTTTGGTGTTTGAGACTGTATCAAGAACTCAGACAACCTGGAGACTGTTAGTTTGGGGTTTAATTAGATCTTCAAATACTTCGAAGTATGCCTTTGGGCAAGTAAACCTGGAGAAGTGGGGTGAAGTATATGGGGGAGCAGAACACAAGGCATTGATGCAAGTATGAAATTTAATTCTAACCTGCCCTATTACAGGTTTTCACACCAAAGGTTCCACATTAAATTAGTTACAGTGAGTGACCAGTCCAGGAATGTGCATGTGGGGTACAGAAAAGGAATACAGCACTCTCCAAGTTCTTTGCGGGGGGCGGGGAGTTCCTCTTTTAATGAGGAATTTTTTCCCTCCATATTTACCGCACAAGGATGAGAGGCATCTGTTAAGAGGCTCTCCTCATCTATAGGTGTTCAGGTGTCCCTTCTGGGGCTGGGAGCACTCTTAGCACAGAGCCGTTTGAGCTTTTTTTTCAGGAAGACATTTACCAAGTAGCTAACTTGGCTTCTATTGGTTTTGTAGTTTTCTTTATACTCAATTTGTAAAGATATCTTTTAGTTGAACAAAATCCCTAAGCAAAGCTGAACTAACTTGCTGTATATATTTACAAGTAATTGTGTGCGCTGAGGTCTGCCAAGGTTTCCTATACAGGAATCTGTATGATTGCAGTTTCAGGAACTGCCACATGCTTCAGCCAGAATTTAAGGCGAGAAGCCAGACTTTTGCTGGTTTTTCTATCCCAACCAGCCCTCCACACTCATTTCGATAATAATGCTACCAACACCTACATCCCTAGGCTTACAGACTGAAAGCCTGCAACAGAAGGGCCAGAAGGCCCAACGTTTCCGGATACCCCCTAAGAGGGAAAACCACCAAACCTGGCACCATCAGCCAGGCACACAGCCCGAGGGGCCATCTAGGAGTCCAGACACGGGGAGGCCGCTCACCACACTGCTCATCAGTTCCGTCGGGGCACTCTCGCTCTCCGTTGCAGAGCCAGGCCACGGGAATGCACCTTTCCCCACAGGCAGCTTGCCTCGTCTTATTGCACCTCACTTGGTCTGCGTTGGATGAAAAAAAGCAAATCCGTGAGAGTTCCTGGCTACGTTGGCTACAAGGGAGCACCTTTTCATGGTAAGCTGCCGTCAAGAGGTCATTCAGAAGGCCTTCCGTCAACTCATACTCAGGAAGACACTTGGGGGGATTCAGTATCATAAAATCGCATATGACTTCTGCAGTCGTTACTACATTGGAAATAGTTCTTCAAGTGGTATAAAGTTGGGGAACTGCCATCGCCTGTCCCCATTAGAATAAGGGGCTGGCGTGCACTCTGCTCAAAGAGACACAGGCACTGCTTTCGCTCCGGTTCCGTCTTAAAACACTCAGTATGAATAGTTGCACATTTAGAAGTCCAAGCTCAAAGACGGCACTCTAGTTTACTTTTAAGCATGTGCAGACACATCTGAAAATTAGATTAGCATTGAGGGTCCCTACATACCATCTTGATAAGAATGCCTCTCATAGGCTGGTTATAAGCATTTGTTAAGTCTTCAGTTATTTGCAGGAGATTGATTTACACTCTCAGTTTTGTTCAAGTTACGAACTTGTGTTTATCAACCTTGAATGATTAATGGTCAAAAATCAGCCTTTTATAGAATGTGGTCCCCAGAGGGAGGCTCCAGGAAGGCCTGATTATACTTAGTTTATTATGCTGTCATAACTTTGAAAAAGAAAGAGCCAGCCTTTGGTTCCTAGAAAAGATGAGCCACATGGCCCATACTAGAAGACTCTGCAAGATGCACTAAAAACCCTGCGCAGTCCTACTCCCTGGGACAATTTCAATATGGAACGGAAAGTGGTGCAAAGTTGTGTAATGGAAGTTGACAACAGAAGGTCGTTGTGTAGACCACAGCTTCTTTGTTAAGGGACCATTTCATAGTCTTACTTGTATCCCTCTAACATAGCGATTTTAGCATAGCTACTCAAGGTATGTTTTTTTTTTTTAAGCTGGCTTGCAAAAAATATTTTAATGAAATATTTAGAAAGTATTGGTTACTAATGGGTAGCTAATAACTTTGCCGATGACTCACATACCATCCAGGCAATCTTACTTATCTTAACCCAAACCACTGAGAGCAAATGATGTTACCAACCGCTAATATGGGAGCACAGACTCAGCTGTCAGACTACACAGGTTGGCATTTCAGTGAAACCGCTTACTAACAATAGGACCTTGGGAGAGTCACTTCCTCTCTTTGGATCTCGGTTTTTGGGTCTATAGAAGGAGACTACTAAATAAGTGATCAGAAGAGGAAGAGTCAGAGATGAAACGACCACAAAGCCACTTGGCACAGTATACCCACCATATAAATCTTCATAAAGTGTTAACTCTTTTGCTGCCTCTTCCAGCAGATCCTTCCAGAAGGATCCCAATTAGGGGTTCAGTCAGCCCTCAGAGACTCATACTGCCAGGTGAGTCACACCTTGAACAATACGGTGCTCTGGTGCTTCTCAGTTTCGAGACCATGTGTGCATCGAGATTCTACACATCTACAGATGCATCTCAAAACATTACTTTTCACTTACGTAGACGCTTGCTGTGAATGAATACGACACTTATTAATATTTTTACTTTTTTTTTTCAACGTTTATTTATTTTTGGGACAGAGAGAGACAGAGCACGAACGGGGGAGGGGCAGAGAGAGAGGGAGACACAGAATCGGAAACAGGCTCCAGGCTCCGAGCCATCAGCCCAGAGCCTGACGCGGGGCTCGAACTCACGGACCGCGAGATCGTGACCTGGCTGAAGTCGGACGCTTAACCGACTGCGGCACCCAGGCGCCCCAATATTTTTACTTCTATAATAATTTTAGGGTAGCTTTCTCATAGTCTGTCAATACACAAAGTACAATGATCCCATGCTATTCTAAAACGGACATCCTAAAGAGGTCTTCATGCCAGAGGGCCTTGGTAACCACTGCTTAGTAAAAAACCCAAGTAACTTAAAACGTTCTCCAGGAGTGGTACAAAAAGACCACCCAGAGCAAAGGCTTCTCATCCCTGCAGAGATGCTCTGCCAGGTTAGGCAAAAATCTTGTGGGTGAGAATCCCTTCTGGAAGACAGAGAACTCAGTTAAGTGGTACCTCCTCCGAACTAGTTAACAGCACCTTGACCAGGAGTCTGCGCGAGTTAAAATGACCAGCCTTCAATCTATGAGCGCCAGTAACCAGGACCTGTCAAGAGATCAGCATGCCCGCAGGCCGGGTGGTTTGACAAACGCTGGGCACCTCCTACACCTGGCTAGGCCACCAACCAGTCGCCCAGCCAGCCACCATCTGGGAACTGTGGGTGTCTCAGTCACCCTGGGACACGGATTCAGCTCTCCTCTGCCTTGGGGTCTGCCTAAACCCGAGAGGTATCAACAGGTGCTGCAGGAAGTCGCTTCCTAACTGCACCTCCGGCCCAAGCCCCGTCCCCCACTCCACCCCCGCCCCGGGGGGGGGGGGGGAGGGGGTGGTGCTGTTTCCGGAGGGACTTCCCTCTTCCCCAGGCCCCGGGCCTCCACCAGGCTAAATCTGCTGCCTGGGGAACCCTGAGCGAGGGTCCCATCAGAGACCAGGGCTGCAAAGCGGATCCCACTTGGCCACGACCCGGCGCGGGGGGGGGGGGGGGCGGCGGGGCCCCCTGGCGGGGGGGAGAAGAAGGTGCGCCCTGCACTCAGTGTGCAGAGAGCTCGCTCCCACACGCTTGGGGTGGGATGAAGGAAAGAGGCCGCCGAGTTTGACCCCTGTGCCCACCTCCTCTTTCATCCACTGGGCAGGCGGGGAAGGAGGAAAGGGCAGAGAAGCAGGGGCCCCCGCGACTCAGCCGGCGGCCCCTCCAGAAGGCCGGACTTCACCCTCCTCTGTGGAAGGTCAGTGCAGAAGGGGGGGGGGGTGCTTCACGCACACCAGCGAGGGTGCCCCAAGCTCTCCTACCGCCCCTGCAGCGCCTCGCAGCCCGCCACCCCTGCACGCTGCCGTCCCTTCCAGGACGCCCTGCCGCGCGACCCCACTCACCGGTCCCGGAGCCCGCGAGGCCGCCCAGCGCGGCCAGCACCGGCGGCAGGAGCACAAGGAGCGCCAGGAGCCCCATGGCGGGGAGGGGACAGGGCGCCTCGGGGCCGGAGTCGCGCTCGCCGGAGGAGACCGCTAGCGGGAGGAGCGCAGGCTGCGCCCGGGGCGGGCTCTCTTCCGCTCGCGCCGCTCATTGGGGATGACAGCGGCGGGGGCGTGGGGAGCACCGCCGCGGCCGGCCCCCGGGGAGGCGCTGCCCGGGACCGAGCCGGGCTGCGGGCAGGACGGCGCCCGCCTCCCCGCGGGGTCTCCCCTCCAGCAGCGGGACAGCGGCCACTCCGCTCCCTTGGGCCCTGGCCTCCGCCACGCTCGGGGGCCAAGTGGGACTGCTCAGCCGCGCTTATCTACGGGGTTCGAGAACTCTTATGGGCACAGGAATCACCTAGACATCTTACTCGGCAGACTATGATCCCGGAGGTGTGGGGCGGGGGCCTGAGAGCCTCTAACAGAATGATCGTCAGGTGACGCCTTGGCTGCTGGTCCTCAGACCTCACTTTGAAACAGCAAACTGAGGACAGCACGGCGGCCGCGGGGCTCGGGAGCCCTTCTCTGCGAGGACTCCCCCCTCTCTGCCTCCTGTCTTCCCAGCGCCCCCGGCCAGAGCCGGGCCCTCCTGCGAGGGGTCTGTACTGACAGCGCGGAGGGGTGGGTCGTCTTGGCCGGCGGTCAGAGTCACAGTACAAAAGCCCCGAGAAACATCATACCGCTTTCCGTGTGTGTCCCCCGCAGGAGTGGAATTACTTTCCTAAACAATGGGACGGGGACGTGGATCTGGTGGCTCCAAGCCAGAGTCCAACATAATCTCTGTAGGGTCATAGACTTACAGGACCGGGAGAATTTGGAGGTCGTTTTATCCAAATGCTGCCATCGGGGGTGAGATGATGGATTAAAAAAAAAAAGATGAGAGCTGGTGACACATTGTGGCATTCCTTCTTTCCAGTACACCAGGGGACGTGAGTGTCAGATTCTTGGAGAGAACACGCCAGCGGAGTTAGAATTTAGAATGTAAAACCGGCAAGGAACATTTATAGCGTTGGGAAGGGCAAGGCAACAATAAAACACCAGGAAAAAAAAATAGAAACAGAAAACTGAATTGCAAAGTGCCTTCTTAGATTTTATTTGCAACACAGTACTCCAACAGCTTTCTTTTAAATCATACCTCTCTTCATGTTCACTGCTGGCCCCATCAAATCACACTTGGAAGATATCAGAATGCCATATGCTCTGAAGTTTTCTTTAAATTCGTTGTGTGCTCTGATTGCATAAGCCGCTTAAAAGGACCCTTCCGCGCTTAACAAAAACCTCCTAAGATATCATAATGATTTCTGCTGAAATGTTGTTGCTTTGGAACCAGATTCTATCGGATGCTTAATGGCATTCGGAGACACAATAGAGCAACTCAGAGTTTTAAGAATATAGACGCGTTTTCCTCCCAGAGAGGCACCGAAGCCGGTGGTCAGAAGCTGGAATTGCAGTGTGGTAGACCCGGGTTCGAATCTCAGCTGAATGAGGCTATACGTGGATGTAAATGGCAGCTGTATTGTTAGGCAACAGTCAGCGTGGGCTCTTTTTAACCCATACAGGCTGAGAAAGCCATAGACATGGGTGACAGAAGTAAGAATTTCGGTAGCATTTATATTTGGCTTTAAATCCTTGTATTCTGACTCATTCTTGCTTGGTGACATGTGTGGTCCCACGGTCCTCTGTCTCTCCCCACATTTCACGTCTTCAATCTGTTCTGTCAGCCTGTGGGTGAGCAGAATGATGCCCCCCCCCCCCGCACACACACCACCTGAAAAAGGTAAATTCCAATTCCCAGAACCTGTAAATTGTGATTTACTGTTGTTTTGGTTGCAGGATATGAAGAAAATCTGGCCTCACACAGATATGTGTTGCCTGCAAAAGAAGTAACAGTCTTTTCAAAGGATATCTAAATGTAGACGTTCTTCTCTGGGTTGTTTTTTGTTTTTTTAATGTTTATTTTTTATTTTTGAAAGAGAGAAGGAGAGAGAGAATCCCAAGCAGGCTCCACGTTGACAGCAGGGAGCTCGTTGATGGGGCTTGAACTCATGAACTGTAAGATCATGACCTGAGCTGAAGTCGGACGCTCAACCGAGCCACCCAGGCGCCCCAATATTCTTCTTTGATGTTGTGATTTTCTTCCTCCTACAAAATATAGGTCCTGGCTCCCAGTACCTCAGAATGTGACCTTATTTGGAAATAGGGTCTATGCAGATTTACTCAAGTCCAGGTGAGGGCATTAGAGTGGGCCCTAATCCAGTATGACTGGAATCCTCGTAAGAGAGAACTGTGGACACAGACATTAGAGAAGAAGACAGTGTGAAGAGACACAGGGAGAAGGCCATGTGATGATGGCAGCAGAAATAGGAATTATGCTACTCAAGCCAAGGAGCACCTGAAGCTACCAGAAGCTGGAAGAGGAATGGACCTTTCTGTTACAGCTTTCGGAGGGAACATGGACCCCTTGATCGCAAACTCCTGGCCTCCAGAACTGTGAGGCAATAAATCTCTGTTCTTCCAAGCAACCCAGTTGCTGGTAGTTTGCTATGTCAGCCCTAGGAAATTGGTGTAGATACAAAGACCAAAATGGTCGTAAGCATCGTCATTTCTTAAAGGGTAATTGCAGTGTAGAATCTGAAACCATGTGAGTGACCGTTTCATACTGTTCTTATTAAAATCCACCAGCCTATTTTATACTTTGAATGGATCTTTCACCCATGCATGACTTTGTAACACCGTGCACTAATCATTTGGAAAATACAGGCTCGTTAAGTTATGCTGATAGTCCAAATGTTGACTGTTCCTATCATACAGTAGTTTAAAACTCACATTTGTCGCGGCGCCTGGGTGGCTCAGTCGGTTGAGCGTCCGACTTCGGCTCAGGTCATGATCTCGAAGTCCGTGAGTGCAAGCCCCATGTCGGGCTCTGTGCTGACAGCTCAGAGCCTGGAGCCTGTTTCGGATTCTGTGTCTCCCTCTCCCTCTGCCCCTCCCCTGCTCGTGCTCTGTGTCTCTCTCAAAAATAAAATAAACATTAAAAAAATCACATTTGTTAACATCACTACTGATATCATCCGGAAAGATTTTGACTATTGAGAAGATAGTAAGCTCCTGTTGGTGGACTCACGTTTTCAAATATTATAATTCTCCCTTGAAAGCTCAAATTATATCATTGGCAACAAATACAGTCAGTTGTTTTCCTTGAAGTGACACAAATGCACCATGCGTTTCTGAGGAACATGTTGCCAAGTACCCAAGTCTGAATAAACAGATGTTTATCATCACAAAATGGCGTTTATCGAGAAGCGTGACTGGTTACGCTTGCAACTCAGGCAACTGCACAGGTGCTTGCCTCTTCTCAGTCGGGTGGGCAGCAGAAGGGCCTTGTGCAAACTTGCCATTTAGTAACAGAATATTTAAAAGCCATAGACTACAAGGCTAAAATAATAAAATTAATAATTTTTACTGCACAAAGTACATTTTTAAGGTTTTTTTTAAGGCATATTTTTAAACTACAAGTATGTGGCAATGAAGAATAACTGACTACTAGTATGGTTTGGTGCCACCACCCTGATTCATGGTAAGGAGCCAGGGATTTTACCACCACTGGTTTTTGTTTGTCTATTTACCCTCAGGGCAAATGTCAACAAAACAAAAAAAGCAAATATTCTTTTAAAAATAGTTTTGACCCTAGAGGCCCACTGGTATCCATAGACCATCTTAGAAAGGAAAGGTCTCATATCCACCATATGTAAAGAGCTTTTACAACTCAATAATAAGAAGCAAAATGACCAGATTTTTTAACTGGTCAAATGTTTGAACAGTCACCTCACAAAAGTAGATATATGGCTGGCCGATAATACCTAAGGAGATTTCTTTCTCTTTTTTTTTCTTATAGAGATTTGTATACTTGAAATTGTCAGAGGAGTACAAATGAGAACAAATTAGGTAGACCCAGCTTTACAAGCTAAAATTTAAAAACAACAACTCGATAATACCAAGTCAGGATGCGGAGCAACCAGAACTTTCTTTCATTGCTGGGAAGTGTATAAAATACAACAACCGGTTTAGGAAAACCATTTGGCAGTTTCTTATAAAATTAAACATCTACTTAATATATGACCCACTGATCCCTCGCCTAGTTGTTTAACAAAGAGAAGTGAAAACATGTGTTCGTACGTACAAAGACTTTTACGTGAATTTTATAGCAGCTTTATTTCCTCTAGCCCCAAGTTATACTAATGCAGATATTTATCAACAGTGCATCGACAGTGTGTGAAGTATGTCCACACAGTGGAAAACCATTCAGCAACAAAAAAGAACAAACTACTGGTAGGTCCAACAACATGGATAATTCTCAAACCATTGTATTCAGGAAAAAAGACTGGCGCAGAAGAGTACATATTGTATGATTCCATTTATATGAAGGTCTGGAGCAGGAAAACTAAGCAATAGAATTCAGACCACTGGTTGACTGGGGCTGGTGACAGGGACTGAAAAGGCATAAAAGGAAACTCTTGGAGGTGATCGTGTGTGGGACGGCCATTCTACAGGTGTGTTCATTTGTTAGACCTCATTAGACCGTCCTCTTAAAATGAGGACATTTTATTGTAAACTATAGCTCAGTAGATGCTTTTTTTTTTCTTTTTAAGTGTTAGGCTCAGGCATTTCTTTTTTTTTACTGAGATCTAGTTTGCTTTTAAAGGAAAACTAATTTAGGAGCTATTAAAACTATTACTGATCAAAGAAAAATATGGAAATAGCTCCAATTTATCTTATGAAGTTTGTGTAATTTTAGCACTTCACAACAGACATATTGCATATGAAAGTGGAGGTTAAAAGTCTAAACATTAAGGTAAATTATATCAAGTAGTTCAAAAAACATAATACTGAATAACAAGTACAGTTTATTCTGGTAAGGCAAAGTTCATGTATCATTAGGAAATCTTTAATATAATTAATTACCTCAACAATTAAAGGATTAGTATTATATTATCCATATGATTTGGAAATATATGCTCAAAACCTTCGGTGAAATTCAGCAGCCATTCCTATAAGACAGGAAAACAATGTACAATAAAATGTATCATAAAATAA